CTCCTGCCAGCTTACTGCCAAACACAGAGCAAAAGCAGGTGAAAACAATCCCATATTTAGTCATTACGTAAATTGTTTGTGGCAAGCTTATAGACAAACCCTGTGCTAAATTCTGAGTTTGGTGACTGGAGGGAAAACGACCGCTAAAAGGCACATATTATGTTCTCAAAGCCGATTGTTAGGTACTCTGAATGGGGTCTAAGCCTGTCATTGTCTGCTGGAAATTCATCCGTCCCAGAGCTACCTCTAAACAGGTTGTATGTGTGTTTAGCAGTTCCAGTCAGAATAGGCAATTCTTTTTTCCCCCTTCTTGACAGCACTATGTGTGAGGGCTGAAGAACCGGGCTCTGTGATACTGCCAACTTTCCTCCCACTAGAGCAGGCATGTCCAACTTTGAACAGGTAGTAGTGATCTATTTTTTCCGGCCAAAAGTGCCGGTGATCGACCACCATGAAAATAAAGTTTCAAATTAGTTTCAAATTAGATTTTGACCCAGTAAAGTTGGGTTTCACCGCCCGCCCCCATTTCTAATGCACCTTCTGTCATTTACTGGTAAGCAAAATAAGCAAAAACAAAACAGAGAGACCGAAGATCCAGAAAGAACTGTGAACATTTTTAATTTTTTATTGAGTTGTAACTTTCTTTTAACTGTCTCAATAACTTTAACTTTTATTCAGTTATTTGTGTTAAATGTAGGTCAAGTATTGATCCAGGCTGATCTTGCACAATCTTTAACTTCACTCTTGCTCATTAGTGAGACAGTCATCAAAAAACCCCAAACATCTGTCCAGCAAACCAGGAGACCAAGTGGAGCTGGTGATCTACCTCTGACCCCTCCACAATCTACTGGTAGATCGCGATCTACCTGTTGGACACACCTGCACTAGAGTATAAACAGTGCTGCTGTGTGAAGCCCTGCCTGGTTCCAGAACCGGGAAGCAACTCATGAATGACGACCAACCTCCCACCCTAGCTCCTGAAGGTGTGGCAGCTACAGCGTTGTTTCTGTTGTAAAATAGTCAGAAGTGTTTAATACTTAGACTATCAATGGATCTTGCTCTATCGGAAAGAAGAGATTTCTGTGCTTTTAAAAAACCTTTATTTCTAAGGGTAAAAGGTACACGGGATTACTACAAATAAGCATAACACTAACAGCTACATTTTCTAAGCTGCCTATAGTCAACACTAGCACACAGATAATGGAGATAACTCTCCTTCTTCTTGACCCCTAGAAAGGAAGTCACCTGAAACAAATGACCAATCTGTATCACAGTAGAAAGCTACTTTCCCCGGGCTAATTCCCCATTGGCTCAGTGCCAGGTATCCCTTCCAGGTCTGTCTAAACAATAGCAATACTAGGAAAACAAGTTAACCCTATAATGACTGGATTGTCAGACCTTGTAAACACATACATTTCCAACAGTTTCTTTGACTGACTTTGGCATCCCCATCTACGCCAACAGTTCTTTTCCCTATCCGTAGCATTTTTTTTGGGGGGGGGGTTTGCCATCAAGTCAGCTGACTTATGGCAATGGTAACCCTGTGGGGTGTTCAAGGTAAGAGGCATTCAGAGGTGATTTGCCATCGTCTGCCTCCGTGTCACAGCCCTGCTATTCCTTGGAGGTCTCCCATGCAAGTACTGACCAGAGCTGACCCTTCTTAGCCGAGATCTGATGAGATCAGGCTTTAGGATTTAGGATGCGTAGCGCACCTCCCCCCCCCTCCTTATTATTACTTATTCAGAAGTAAATCTCAAAGTGTTCACTAGTCACAAGTTAAGTACACATGTTTTGGTCCTTAGCCTTATTTCTAAGCAGGAGAAGCATCTAACACATGATTCATATATATAATTGAGTAGTGGGGTGGCACTTTCCAGCTCTCCCATTGGATGTGCAATGTGCTCCATCAGCCATTGGCCCATCAGCCACCACTCAAGAGTACTCGTGTGCCCATTGGCTGTGTGATGTGTGCGTGTATCTTTAAGTGGTTAGTTTTCCATTCTGTGTGACATATTTAACTTGTTAGAATGCTGAGGGCCAGCCGACTTTCAGGTGTGTGATGTTGTTCCTGTGCTCTCCGCTCTTGGTGTCTCCTTCTATGGAATAAAGCTGTTTTGTAAACAACGACTGGGTGTCGTTGGTCATCAGACGAGGCATATTGCCACAGAACATTACATGGTGTCAGAAGGACGGATGGTGAGGTTGCACCATTGACTTATACCGAGGCATTATGATAGTGGCTGATTTGTTTTCAATTCCCTTCCTAATAATCCCGAGCATAGCGTTGACCTTTTTTATTGCAGTCACACACTGTCTCGACATTTTCAGTGAGTTATCTACTACGACTCCAAGAAGAAGAAGAAGAAGAAGAAGAGATTGGATTTATACCCCGCCCTTCACTACCCAAAGGTGTCTCAGAGCAGCTTACAAACTCCTTTCCCTTCCCCTCCCCACAACAGACACCCTGTGAGGCAGGTGGGGCTGAGAGAGCTCTTGACAGAAACTGCTCTTTTTCAAGAACAGCTCTTATCAGAACTACGGCTTGCCCAAGGTCATCCAGCCAGGTGCAAGTGGAGGAGTGGAGAATCAAACCTGGTTCTCCCAGATTAGAGTCCGCGCACTTAACCACTACACCAAACGGGCTCTCAGGGTCTCAGGGCCCAGATAGACTACTCTGAGACAGTGTTCCCTCTAAGCTGAGTTAACGTGAGCTACCTCACAGTTTTTTAGTCTCCGGCTCACACATTTTGTCTTAGATTAGGGAGGATGGCTGTAGAGCAAACTAATTTATGCAGTAGCCAAATCACTTGCTCACAAATTGGCCACGGTCCAACTGCCGGGTTGAACTCAGCATTAGAATTGGCGTGCTTCCTGTGAACACTTACCTTTTTGCTATGTATAATGCACTATGTCAAATGTCTTGCATTATGCCTGTTTCACCATTTGAGAAAGACACTTCGAAACGAGCATTAACTCGAGAAGTTCGTCTGCCAGTCTGTTCACCTGTTGAATAGAAAGATTATACATCATGAAATTCATCAGTACTAGAATCTAATTTACTTCTGTGTAATTTACTTCTGTGTGCACGTTTGCAGCAATTTTTTGTTTTTCATTTAAGGACAGACAGTGACAGCAGCCATGAAATTAAAAGACGCCTGCTCCTTGGGAGGAAAGCGATGGTGAACCTAAAAAGCATGATAAAAAGTAGAGACATCACCCTGCCAACAAAAGTCCTCATGGTCAAAGCAATTGTATTCCCAGTAGTCATGTATGGCTGCGAGAGTTGGACTATAAGGAAGGCCGAGCGCCAAAGAATAGATTCTTTTGAACTATGGTGCTGGAGAAGACTCTTGAGAGTCCCTTGGACTGCAAGAAGATCAAATCAGTCAATCCTAAAAGAGATCAACCCTGACTGTTCCCTGGAAGGCCAGATAATGGAACTGAAGCTCAAATACTTTGGCCACCCAATGAGACGGGAGCACTCACTGGAGAAGAAGACCCTGATGCTGGGAAAGATTGAAGGTCAAAGAAGACGGGGACGGCAAAGGATGAGATGGTTAGACAGTGTCATAGATGCAACGAACATGAAGTTGAGCCAACTTCAGAGGACGGCGGAAGACAGGAAGGCCTGGCGGGATCTGGTCCATGGGGTCACGAAGAGTTGGACTCGACTGTGCGACTGAACAACAACAAAAAGGAATGAATAAGGAAGTGCGAATAAGGAACCAACTTCAGCCTCCTGGAGTGACGTTTTATGAAGGGAGAGTAAAGCAGGCGGAGGACTGGGCCCATTGCAGCCTGGCCACTCTGGGCTCCCCAGTCATAAAGGTGTTTCTTTCAGGGCTACTTTTGGGCAGGAAT